GTTTGGTGAGTTGAGTGAAATTTTATTGATAAATATTGTCCAATATAAGACATATATAGACTAATAAAATTCGATTTCATGTGGCCATCAGTGTTCTTCCCTCAATACTTCTTGTTGAATATAAGAACACTTGTTTTTATAGCAATGTCGTCATTCGATTGAATCCGAGTATGTCCTTAGCTTTAATACTCATCTTCTAATAATAATGATATCCAATAATTTGGCTACTACTAAATAATGTCAATGATTTTTGGGGTTTTTTCTAGATAAGATATAACTTATTTCCGGAGGATGAGGTTTTCCTTTTGCACAATAATTGCACTCATGAACGGCTGAAGGCAATGCAAAGTACGAAAATGCCGATCTAAAGCTTTTAGCACCCCCATTTTACTTTATTGTGTAAAAGTTTTTCCACAGCTATGGTAAGAAATATATGTCCTTTTATATCATTCGAATTTTTTAGTGAACAATCATTTTCACGAGAACATGCATAACACTACTCTTTATATGATATGTAACTTTTTACTATTATACATACGTACTACGTATTAGTAAGAACTAATATGCTTTGTGTTCTCAAATACTCAAAGTGATTGCATGATTTTTTGTACGTGTACCCACCAAATTGCTAGAGCTATACTTACTTTCCACGTTACCAATAGCTTGCCCTTACGAAAGGGGAATGCGGATTATTAGTTGCATCGCCCATGATCTACCGTACTATTGGAGTAGGGTATTGAATTTCTTTTTCTTTTCCTTGCATAAAATTGTTAGCATTACTTAATTGTTGCTTGATTGATAAATTTATCCTTCCATTGAACTAAACTTGTTTTTTTTCTGTCTCGCAAACTTATGGTAAAGTTCTTAGCGATTGATTTATTGATGGAAGTTATACTCAAGTAATTGAGGATTGAGAAATACCAAGAAATTTTACTTTAGAAGGAATCTCTGCCATTTAAATGTACCCGCATTTAGTTCAAGTTTTCCTTACAATGACTTGAACGTACTGTTTGATCTACTTCTTTTTTGTTCATGAAAATGAGGGACATGGGTGCCCTAAGTTAGATAACACTCTAAGTTAGATAGCACTCATGTCCCTCATTTTCATGAAAAAAAGTAGGTCAAACAGTACATTCAAGTCAAACAGTACATTCAAGTCAAAACTTAAACTAAATGTGAGGCGCATTTAATTGTGAGAGATGCCTTCTAAAGTACAATCTATTTGTATTTTGAATCCTCAATTACTTGTGTATAACATCCATCAATAAACAAATCGCTAAGATCTTTACCATAAGTCCGCGAGAGAGAAAAAACAAATAAACAAGTTTAATTTAACGAAAAATAAAGTGATCAATCAATCAAACAACAATTAATTAATGCTAACAATTTTTATGCATGGAAAAGGAAAAGAAATTCAATACCCTATTTTAATAGTACGGTAGATCATGGGCGATACAACTAGTAATCCACATTCCCCTTTCGGAGGGCAAGCTTTTGGTAACGTGGAAAGTACGTGTTGCCTCAAATCTAAATTTTCCACCAAATTAATCATTATTATATGTGTAGAATATTCAAAGTAGTCTTACGTTAAAAGAAGTGTTAGCCTAGCTAATGTGGTGGGTACACGTACAAAAAATCTTGCAGTCACTAGTGAGTATTTGAGAACAGCAAGCATATTATTTTTGACTAATATGTATTACATATGTATGATATTAAAAAATTACGTATCATATAAAGAGCAGTCTTGTGCATGTTCTCGTGAAAATGATTGTTCACTGAAAAATGAGAATTATATAAAAGGACATATATTTCTTACCATGGCGATGCAAAAACTTTTACACAAAGTAAAACGGGGGTGCTAAAAGCTTTAGATCGGCATTTACGTACCTTGCATTGCCTTCAGCCGTTCATGAGTGAAATTATTGTGCAAAAGGCAAACCTCATCCTCCATAAATAAGTTATATCTTATCCATAAAAAAACCCAAAAATCATTGACATTATTTAGTAGCAGCCAAATTAATGAGATTATCATTATTATTAGGAGATGTGTATTAAAGCTAAGAGATACTTGGATCTGATCGAATGACGACATTGCTATAAAAACAGGTGTTCTTATAGACGGCAAGAAGTATTGAGGAAAGAAGCACTGATGGCCAAATAAGATTGAATTTTATTAGTATATATATGTATGATATTGAGCAATACTTATCAATAAAATTTCTCTCAACTTACCAAACTCGGACTCATTCTTGAAGTGCACTGGGGAGGTGATATGCACTAATTAGTAGTGCATAAATGTATATTTTATGTTTGATTTATGTGTATTGTTTATCGTTTTATTTAGTTTGTAAACATTTGTGTGATTTTAGTTGTAATTGTATTTTATTCTTCATTTGTAAGTTGTAAAGTAGAATCACGAATTATGGTGTTGAAAAGGATGACTTTGAAGTGAAGAAAAAGGAGGTTTTACTGTCCAGGAGCAAATACCTGACCGGGTAGAAGACTTCACCCGGTCGGGTCTGATTTAACAACCGACATTTCAAGGAAAGAGCTGGACCCGGTCGGGTCCCCTATGCCACTCGGTCGGGTCAGACTTGACCCGGAACACCAGAACGTGCCGAAGATCATCATAACGTGGAGAATATCTGATTTTGATATTTACCCGGTCGGGTATGTCCTTTGACCCGGTCGGGTACCCGGCCAAAGGTGTTGTAAAACACCTATAAATAGCCCCATTTTCCTTCACTTTTATCCATCTCTTCTTCCATACTCCTAAGCTCAGTTTAGAATAACATTTCTTATATTTTTATAGCATGTTTAGTCTCCAAATGAGGAGCTAAACCCTTCCATCTTGGTTTTGCTACTTTGAAACTTAATGAATTTGTAAGTTGTGAGTTATTTTCTTTAATCTTCTTCCTTGAATATTAATTCTTCCTTTCAAATACTATTTCTATATCAAAGTTGGGGAATGTTACTAAGATGACAATTAGTTAACATCTTGACATTGGTTATAGTAATAGTTATTTCTTCCTCTATGTTAATATTGGGGTGTGTTACTAAGATGACAATTAGTTAACATCTTGATGTTAATCATAGTAGGATTCATATTCTTTAATATTCTTCCTTGAGTATTAATTAATTCCTATTCATATTTCATGTTAATATTTTAAACATTACTTAAAGTATCAACTAGTTTTGTTTCTCATATTAATTATTACTAGAATCAATCGGTTAATACGCTTGTTATTAATCCGGTTCTTTCAATGGTAGTAAACTTGGAATATTAATGCATGCATCTCATGGTTAATATGCCAAGGGGAATTAATTATATTGATTAAACCAATAAACCGCTTGTGTTGAGGTTATCAATCTCAATCGTTTTCGTCTTAAGTTTATTGCTACTATCAAGTTAATATACGGCGCTTGTTCTATATTGACTCGTTAGTAAGTTTTATTAATGAACGCATATCGTTATTAATAACTACCCTCGATGAACTGAATATACTCCTCGATTGAGTATTCAAGAGGAAGATAGTTAAAGATATAACCGGGATAGACGAACATTTCATTAAGTGGATAAAAGCAAAACCAAGCCACCACATCTATTAATTAAACTCATATAAGTCGTTCATCTTAGTGTTAACTGAATTAAATCAAATCAAACCGAAAACCCCCCTTGTTACTATTTACACAGAAGAAAAGTGTTCCTTTCCCTGTGGATACGAACCTTACTTCACTATACTACGTATTAGTGTTGTATTGTAAAATATTTTGAGTGCACCTCACGACAAAGTTCACTTCAAATTTGGCGCCGTTGCCAGGGAAAGGCAATTATTTTTTCTTTTATTGTATTTCAAGAAAACAAAAAAAATATATAAAGAGTTCTTACTTTCTCTATTTCTGAGCTTGGTGAAGTATATGGTTAAACACCGTTCTATAAACGAGATCACCTATCAAACAGACCCATAAATAGAACAAACTTTCGAGCGGTTGAGAAGTAAATTTTCTAATACCAACTCGGAGGAATCATCTATCAGAGATTCATCCAGCGCTAGTTCTCATTCTAGCGAGACCGAAGAGTCAATAACCATGGCTCTTGAGACAAGAACACTACGGGAGCTCACTGCTCCAGATCTCAATCAACAACCATTATGTATTACCTTCCCTACACTCGATGAAGATAATACATTTGAGCTAAAATCTGGGCTCATACATCTACTTCCATCCTTTCATGGCCTAAGAGGAGAAGATCCGAACAAACACCTTTCTGAGTTCCATATTGTGTGCACAAGCATGTTGACGTTCACTCGTCGTTAGGTGCACTCAAAATAAATAATCAATACGACACTAATACGTAGTATAGTGTAGTAAGGTTCGTATCCACAGGGAAAGGAATACTTTTCTTTTATAAAAGTAGTAACAAAGGGGGGTTTAGATTTGTTTGTTTTAATAACACTAAGATAAACAACCTATATGAGTTTAATTCAATGAGATGGGGACTTGGTTTTGCTTTTATCCACTTAATGAAATGTTCGTCGATCCCGGTTATATCTTTAACTATCTTCCTCTCGAATACTCAATCGAGGAGTATATCCAGTTCATCGAGGGTAGTTATTAATAACGAGATGCGTTCATTAATAAAACTTACTATCGAGTCAATATAGAACAAGCGCCGTATATTAACTTGATAGTAGCAATAAACTTAAGATGAAAACGATTGAGATTGATAACCTCAACACAAGCGGTTTATTGGTTTAATCAATATAAATAATTCCCCTTGGCATATTAACCATGAGATGCATGCATTAATATTCCAAGTTTACTACCGTTGAAAGAACCGGATTAATAACAAGCATATTAACGGATTGATTCTAGTAATAATTAATGTGAGAAACAATACTAGTTGATACTTTAAGTAATGTTTAAGATATTAACATGAAATATGAATAGGAATTAATTAATACTCAAGGAAGAATATTAAAATATATGAATCCTACTATGATTAATATCAAGATGTTAACTAATTGTTATCTTAGTAACACTCCCCAATATTATCATAGAGGAAGAAATAGCTATTACTATAACCAATGTCAAGATGTTAACTAATTGTCATCTTAGTAACACTCCCCAACTTTGATATAGAGATAGTATTTTGAAAGAAAGAATTAATATTCAAGGAAGAAGATTAAAGAAAATAACTCACAACTTACAAATTCATTAAGCTTCAAAGTAGCAAAACCAAGATGGAAGAGTTTAGCTCCTAATTTGGAGACTAAACATGATGAAAAATATAAAGAAAGAGCTATTCTATACTGAGCTTAGATGTACAAAGGAATTGGATTTCAAATGGAAAGGAAAAGAGGTGTATTTATAGGTGTTTGGAGGTAGCAGGGTCATTTACCCGACCGGGTTTTACAGAAACCCGATCGGGTTTCTTGAGTAATTGCCCGGAATGTTCATTAGTCACATCTACCCGATCGGGTTTTTGATTTACCCGATCGGGTAAAAGACAAATCTTTGCCAAATCTTCGCTCTGCATGTTAAATTGCCTCCAAATCAAATTTGATATTCGGGTCAAGTCAAACCCGGTCGGGTTTTTGGAAAACCTGGTCGGGTTTTTTGACTATTTTCCCAAATTTTCACTTTTTGTTGTTCCCTTGCACTTTCCTTGAACCTTCCAGGATCCTTTTGACGATCTTTACCTAGTTTAAGCTCAGAAAGTCCCTAATCTAAACAAATTACAACTATTTTACAAACTAAACTATTACACCAAAAGTGTGTAATATTCAAAGTGAAAGTCAATCAAAACTAATTAAAAATACAAAAATAAACATGGAAATTACATGAATGTCACATGTGCCCCAGTGGTGTCTCGGAAGAACAAATCAAATTGAGGACTTTTCCATTCTCCCTCAAAGACACTGCAAAGGATTGACTATTCTATCTTCCTTCGGGAAGTATAGACACATGGGCGGCAATGAAAAAATGCTTCTTGGATAGGTACTATCCCGCCTCAATCTCATCTTCTTTAAAAAACAAATAAGCAACATTGAGCAAAAAGAAGATGAAACATTGTATGAATATTGGGAGCGTTTCAAAAAGTTGTGTGCTAGTTGCCCATATCATGGGTACTCCGAGCAAGACCTCATCCTCTATTTTTATGATGGTCTTGCGGATCAAGATAGGCGCATGGTGAATGCGGCATGTGGAGGGGGAATTATTAACAAAACCCCTTCTCAAGCAAGGAATCTCATCTCAGAGTTGGCCGAGAACTCCAGACATTACAGTGGGCGATCCTCAACTCGAAGGGTTGCCGCCGCAGAATCCAACACCTCGTTGGAAAGCCAAGTTGCCGGTTTGACTTCTCTGGTCAAAGAACTTCTTCTGAAACCAAAGACTCAGGAGGTCAAACGGGTAAATGCCCGATAAGGGGCGGACACACCACCCTCTTCCTCACTTCATTTCTTCCAAATTCCAAACCCATACTCCTCTTCCACCATTTTCTCCACCAAATCAACCAAATAAACTCTTTTTCTCTTCATCTCCTCATCACCCTCTTCACTACTGCACCCACAAAAAAAACCTCCCAAATAACCAAAAATCCAAATCCCCTTACTCACCCTACACAAAGTCCGAAAATTCCTCAACCAAAAAATAAAGAAATGGCAGCACAAAAGGGTTCCTCTTCTAGGATGTCACAGACACAAACACTAGGGACAATGTTTGGGTTAGCTTGGGGGAAGAGTCTTATGGAATACTCACATTCATACTCTTTATTCTTGTTAAAAAAAATTATAAAAGCTTGTTAAGTTGAAAACCCGAAAGGGCAACTTAAGCAAAAATAAAGCAAAAATAAGAGTGATGTGTGAGGATTAAAATAGAAAAATGTGGGAAGCTGGGATAAAAACCCGAATGGGTACCTAGGCAAAATGAGAGAATGAGAGAAATTATTTTCTTTTATTCATGCAGGATCCTAAGGGTAACGAAAAAAAAAGTCGAGGTTGATAAGAAATATGGAGTTGAAGACCCCTCTTGACTGTTATATTTTTGGGGATATACTTTGTGTGTTTCTAAAAACACTCGTGGATTTTTGTGTTGATACTCTTGTCATTTTAAGGACTTCTTAGACTGGATTTGGTTTACTCGAGACGAGTAAAAGTTTAAGTGTGAGGGTATTTGATATGCACTAATTAGTAGTGCATAAATGTATATTTTGGATCTTTTTACACGCGAGGTACCCTCATGCGTAATCTCAAGTAAATCCCACATTTGTTTTGCGGATTTGCATCCAAGAACACGGTTGTGCTCAGCCGGACCAAGTCCACAAATCAAATATTTCAATGCTTGAGCATTATGCTCGAGTTTACAATAATCATCAGAGGTATATTCAGATTTGGGTTTAGGGATAACCTCACCTTCGACATCTTCTTTAGTAATGATGTTATCGCCTACTTCAATTACGTTCCATACCTGGTAGTTCTCAGCCTTGATGAAGTTCTCCATTCGACTCTTCCAGAATTGATAAAATTTGCCGTTGAACAACGGTGGTCGTTGAGTCGAGTATCCTTCCTCCAATCGTTCAACCGTATTCATGCTGCCGGATCTCTTCCCAAGGTTTTAACCTTTCTGTGGTGAAGACCGGCTCTGATACCAATTGATGAAACGGTTAGCAACACAAGAGGGGGGGGGGGGGGGGGGGTGAATTGTGTGTGTGTGGAACCGTGACAGTTTTTCTCACAGTTCTAGTGTGGGGTTCAGGGATTTACGAAATAATAAAGTGCACAAGATTTAACGAGGAAAAATCCCTTGGCTCAAAGGGATTAAAAAACCTCGACCTCCCTCGGAGGAATTTGAACAACTTCACTAAAAAGCCTTTGAATGATTACAAGGGAAACTCTCCTAGTCTACCCTTGAGCCACCCCAACTCTATCCTCTCTAGGAAGAGTTATGCTTCTCTACCTTGTGGGTAGAGAGCCTCTCAGCTTTACAACAAAGCTCTCACAACACACTAACTGACCCGAGGATGCTACACTTAGTCAATCCTCTAAAAAACCCAATTACAATATGAAGAAAGGAAAAGGAAACTCTGTTTGGAACTCCGTGAGCAGGTTCTGGTGCCTTGGACTTAGTAGATATTCTTGTGTATATTTCTCAATAGAAGCTTGATCAAGCACACCCTTTCGTCTGGTCTTTAGTCCAATATATATAGTATCCGTAGCCTCTTCTTTCCTTTTATTCAAAGATCTTCCGGCTCACAAATATGGTGATCCTCGGTCAACCATATATATATATGGAAGGAAGTGGATGCGTGCATATTATGAATAAATCACTCAATAACAAACAGATATGGAGAATATTACGTATTGCAATGAATATATATATCATCACATATAAGGAGAATATTTTATTCTCTTAATATCATCACTCAACAACATATTTATATAATCAATGATTAGTTTTCTTTAACAAGTTTGAATATGTATCGATCATATAAGTGAGATATTCAAATAAGGTGTTACAGATCATGCAAGCCAAGATACTTTCCAAAATTTATCTTTTAATATAATGACTTTTTAACATTAAGTGATAAGGAAATATTTACTTAGTGGATCTAAATATGCTACGGTCAATTTATACAGGATATTTATGTAGCATAAACAATGATTCTTTCCATAAGCTATAAAGCTATATAGGCCAACTCATAAAGGTGAGTGCTTAGTCATATACGGAAAGATATTTAAATTGTGCCACGTACATTAAGAATATGCATGATCAATCTAGGCACGTAGATGAGGTATTATCATGCATGCACATATTAATTTATTCATTATGCACAACAATCAGTCATATAGATCAGAACTAAGTATAGTTCTAATTTTCGTTCCTAATGGAACTGAGAGCAGTTCTGTCCGCCATTTCACCTACATGGTTAGTCATCAACAAAACAACATATTCAACAAATTCCCCCTTTTGTTGATGACAAACATTAGGTGCCATAATAAAGGTGTCCCTGCAGATTAGTATCAGTCGGTGTTTTTATGTAGCAAAATAAGCAGGCACCTGATTATTTCCCCCTATTGGCATCAACCAAAAGGAAACAGAAAATAACCAAAACAGTGCAAAGTAAAATTTCAAAGTAGGACAACTTGTTTAAGATGTTAATGTAGCAACAACCCTCCCCCAGAAAAGAAATGTTTAATCATCCTCAGAAGAATAAATTATTCTTCGATTAGTCGAGCCAGATTCACAGAGCCGCTCTGCCACTTCCTGTTTGAAGGATTGGAAATCATTCCGAATAGCATTGGTTGTGTCAGCCAGTGTGTCCACCTTTTTTGCCAATGCAGAGATGGAGTCTGAAAGGGAAGCAAATTGGTGTTGAAGATAACGTTCCAGGAGATCTATGCGGTCAGTGATTGGGGGTACCACCATCATTGGATCGATGGAAGGAACTGGAGTTGGTTTTGGTCTGGGTTTTTGTTCTGAAGAAGAGGGATCAGTTGGTTTAGGAAGAAGGTGAGAATTGGATATAATTAGTCCTAGATTGCTTAGACATCTCTTGTCCAGGACTTTGCAAGCTTCTTCAGAGGAGAATTTGTCTAGAGTAATGCCCTTAGAGAGAAATATTTTGGTGAGTAGTGGGGCATATGGAATCCCAATCCGTCGGGATGAGGAACTGATGATAGAACTGAGATGGGCCATCATCAATCCAGGAAGGTTGATAGGAACTTTGTTGGCTAAAAGGTACATATATGCCAGTTCAACTCTAGAGGGTGTGAATCTCCCTTCTAGCCGAGGAGTCAAGTTGTGATGAACAAAGTAAAACAGTAGTTTGGGAATTGGGGCAAGGCTCGCAACATGAAGAGAGGATTCGGAAATGGTTGGGTTAAAGTATTCCAGTGCAACTGTTTGAGAGGTGTTGGTTAGGGGCCACTCGGTTTTGTTATATTGGCATATACCAGTACATGGAACACCCAATATTTGACCTAGATCATTCACTTTTAACAGAATTTTTGTGCCTTGTACCTTAGAGGATAAGAAACTGTCTTTGATAATAAGATTAGCCAAAAAATCTGAGATGAGTTCAGGAAACACAGAGGGGCAATTTTTGGAATCAAACAAGGTCTCCCATTTTTGGAACGAAATAAGCTCAGTAAAATCAGAGGTTTTTTGAGTAATATCACCATAGGAGATGGAGAGTACCTTAACTATTCCCCGGGAGAGATATTCCTCCTTGAGTCGTGCGGCGTCTTCCTCGACTACCCTCCCCATCCTTGGATATTTTTGGGTGGAGCCCTTTTCGGAGATGATTCCCTCAGCGATTGCTCTTTTCCGGGTGTATTTTTGGGGCAGTACCTTTCCGTCGCGAGTGGTTGGTTTTCGTTTGGGAGGCTTAATTTGTGATGAAGAGTCTTTATCTGGTTCCCCCTGAGAGGACGCCGGGAATGGTGGTAGGGAGTCACCAGATTCGGAGTGCATGGTCGAAGGAGGTGAGGCTTCGAGTTCAATCGGGGTAGGTGATGAAGGTGGGGGTGGTTGTACGCTTCTTTTCCGGTTAGAACGACGAGGAGCAGTGGGAGGAGCGTAGCCTCTGGTTTTGACCATGGTGGTTTTAAGAAGGAGAAGAGGGAGGCGGTTATGGAAGGTTTGTAATATGGAAGTGGGCGGCGTGTTGGTATACGGGATACTTTCCCACTTCCCAAATTTTTTTTTAATGATTTCCTTCCAAATAGGAAGTGGCCGGTTGTGTGGCAGTTACGTCCCCAAAAAAAACTGACAGTTTAAAAGCTGAAAGATTTCAGTTTTAAATAAAGATTTTCTTCTTAAGTTGTTCAAAAAAAAATTATGAAATAGTTTTAAGCATTGATGAGACCAAGTTCAAGTCGAATTAATTCAAACCTTTCTCTTCCCAGGGGCTTTGTAAAGATGTCGGCAATTTGCTTGTCAGTGTTGCAATATTCTACCTTGATTAGCCCCTTTTCCACGCAATCTCTCAGAAAGTGATGCCGGATGTGGATGTGTTTTGTTCGTGAGTGCATGACTGGATCCTTTGAGATGCTAATTGCACTAGTATTGTCACATAGAATTGGTGTGCAATTTAGGATGATCCCGTAGTCGCTTACTTGTTGCATGATCCACAAGGATTGTGAGCAACACGATGCGGCTGCTACGTATTTGGCTTCGGCTGTTGAAAGAGCAACTGAGTTCTGTTTCTTAGAGCTCCATGAAACCAGGCAAGGACCTAGGAAGTGAGCCGTTCCAGATGTGCTTTTTCTGTTTAATAGATCACCTGCAAAATCAGAATCTGAATATGCAATAAGATTAAAATCCTCATTTCGTGGATACCATAAACACAGATTCATAGTTCCTTTGAGATATTTGAGTATCCTCTTGACTGCTTTGAGGTGAGATTCCTTGGGATTTGCCTGGAACCGGGCACATAGACCTACGCTGAAAACTATGTCGGGTCTACTGGCAGTTAGGTATAGTAGAGACCCAATCATTCCTCGGTATTTCTTTTGGTCTATGCTGGTTCCTGCTTCGTCTGCATCCAGTCTGTCATTTGTTCCCATTGGTGTTGTCATTGTTTTGCCTTCACTTGCTCCATACTTCTTGAGAAGCTCCTTGAGATACTTTTGTTGAGATATTTGAGTTCCTTTACTTGTTTGTTTGATTTGGAGACCAAGGAAATAATTTAATTCGCCCATCATACTCATCTCGAACTCGGAGCTCATAAGAGAAGAAAATTCATCACAAAGTGAGTCGTTAGTAGCACCAAATATAATGTCATCTACATAAATTTGAACAACCAAGAGGGATTGATCTTTTATTTTTAGAAAAAGTGTTTTATCGATTTTTCCTCTTTCAAAACCATTTTCCTAAAGAAATTTAGATAGACGTTCATACCAAGCACGTGGTGCTTGTTTGAGCCCATATAGTGCTTTATCTAGTTTGAAAACGTGATTAGGTAAATCTGGATTTTCAAACTCCGGTGGTTGTTCAACGTATACCTCTTCCTTAAGATAACCATTCAAAAATGCTGTCTTGACATCCATTTGGTGGAGGGTGAAACCCATATGAGCTGCAAACGCTATGAGCATCCGGATTGCTTCTAGCCTTGCCACCGGTGCGAATGTTTCATTGAAATCTATTCCTTCTTGTTGATTATAGCCCTTGACGACTAGCCTTGCCTTATTTCTGGTGATCTGTCCATGCTCATCAAGCTTATTTTTAAATACCCATTTGAGACCAATAACGGTTTTATTCTCGGGTCTTGGTTCTAGATGCCACACCTTGTTTCTTTCAAATTGATTTAGTTCTTCCTGCATAGCTAGAACCCGGTCAATATCGGAGAGAGCCACTTCATGGTTCTCCGGTTCTATAAGTGATAAGTAAGCAAAGAAAGTACAGAAGTTTCTTAATTTGGATCTCGTTGTTACTCCCTGATTTAGATCTGTTAAGAGGTTATCCAGGGGATGTGATCGATGATGTTTCCATCCTCTTGGAGCGTTGGGTTGATCCACAAACTCGTATAAGGTATCTGGACCTGGACCAGCTGGTTCTTCACTTGGATTAGTCGTGGTCAGTCCGGGTCCTTCTTCAGTTCTAGGTTCGTTTTGTTCATTGTCCAGTGATTCCTCAGTTTGGTCATGGCTTGTTTCAATGTGTTCATGGGAATGATTTCCCTTGCGGAGAATTCCTATGTCTCCTTCATCATCTTGCCTCGGTTTTAATGAAAGGGCTTCATCAAAGATTATATGGATGCTTTCTTCCACACATTGAGTTCGTTTATTTAGAACTTTGTAAGCCTTGCTGTGAGTGGAATATCCGAGAAAGATTGCCTCGTCACTTCTTGCATCGAATTTGCCAATATTGTCATTATTGTGGACGAAACATTTGCATCCAAATGTTCTTAGATGACTGATGTTTGGTTTTCTTCCTTTGAGTAGTTCGTAGGGTGTCTTTCCTAGGAGTGGCCGGATCATAGCTCGGTTAATTATGTAGCACGCTGTGTTAAGTGCTTCTGCCCAGAAGTTTCTTGCCAGACCACTAGAAATCAGCATTGTTCTAGTCATATCCTCCAGTGTCCTATTCTTCCGTTCTACTACCCCATTTTGTTGAGGAGTTCTAGGAGCGGAGAAGTTGTGGTCTATGCCTCGTTCTTTGCAGAATTCCTCAAATAGTGAGTTGTCAAACTCGGTTCCATGATCGGATCGAATCTTGATTAGGTGCAACCCTGTTTGATGCTCAATTTTCCTTACAAAAACAACAAACTCATTAAACGTATCTTTCTTACTTGCAAGAAAGATAGTCCATGTAAATCGTGAAAAGTCATCAACAATAACTAACACATATTCTTTGTTTCCTCGACTTCGGACTGACATTGGACCACACAAATCCATATGAATTAGTTCAATGGGCTTGCTTGTGCTCACAAAATTCTTTGTCTTAAAAGATGATCGAGATTGTTTTCCAGTGGCACAGGCAGAGCAAATATGATCAAGGGAATATTTGATTTTAGGTAGCCCGACTACCAATTCATTATTTTTGAGTTTATTGATTAACGAAAAGCTAGCGTGGCCCAATCTTTTATGCCAGAGTAGGGGATCATTGTCAATAACGCTTAGGCAGGTCAAACTTATACTTGGCAATAAATCGAGATCAACTTTATATGTATTTTCAAGTCTCTTGCCTTCTAGTATGACTTGCTGAGATTCGTTATTGACAATGCGGCATACATTATGATCAAAAACTACACTGTTACCTCGATCGCAAAACTGAGAAATGCTAAGCAGATTAAACTTTAGACCTTTGACTAGGAAAACATTGTCTATTGCATGGTCGGGTGACTTTCCAATTTTTCCCACAGCAATGATTTCTCCTTTGCTGTTGTCTCCAAATGTCACCTTTCCACCACTAAATGGCCGCAGTGAGAGGAACAAAGATTTATCTCCGGTCATGTGTTTAGAACAACCACTGTCAAGGAACCAGTGATTGTTCCCCCTCACTCGGCGCTGTTCCAGGATTAAGGTTTAGTGCGTGGAACCCAGACCTGCTTGGGTTCCATTTTATATTGGTTTGAGGAATATTTACTGAAATTAAGGCTTCTCTCTAAGGCCTGTTGTCGAGAGTGACATTGATACATAAGATGTCCGTCTTTGCCACAATATCCGCAAATCCGGCTGTCATATGTATCCACATATTTGGTTTTCCGATTTCCGAAATGATCTTTGACCCTTTTATAAAATCCTCGGTTAGGCGTTTGACCATAACCTGTTTTGTGCCTTTGAACCAGCTTATGGAACCAGGTTGGTCCAGTTCTAGGTTGTCTATGGTACGGTCTAGAACTGGTTTGTTCTCTAGTTCTGTTACCATAAAAGGGTTGGTTCTGAAAACTCGGTTTTTGATTTGTTTGAGAATTTCTTGGATTGTATCCGAGACCAGCAGTCTCGTTTTCCTTTCTGTCGTACCGAGAGGGTCCAGTTCTAGAATGCTGTCCAGACCTGGTTCTTACCTTGGTACTATATGGTTGGTATTCCGGTTTGTTTTTAAAATCCTGTCTCTCGTCCTCAAGGCGATTGAGATGATTTATGAGCAAGGCAATGTCCGGAATTTTTCTTAGAAGTTTTTCTTCGTCATTAACTTGTTTACTCATATTATCGAGCTTGAGTGAGCAAATGAGGTTATCTTGTTCCAAAACCACTTCACTATACTTGAGCCTTTCATCTATTAACTCTCCCACTTTTGTTTCCGGCCTTATCTTGGCTCTAGTGGCTTCCTCGAGTTTAGACTCAAGTTCGGTGATTTGTGATTTAAAATTATCGTTTTCAGAAAGACTTTGATTTAGTTCGATTGTTAATCTTTTGAAAATCTTTCGGACCTTGCCTTTAGAGAGGGAATCAAATTTAGAAAGAAAGCTCTCCAAATTTACCTCGAAATTCTCTTGGTCGGATTCTACATCGGAATTAGCCATGAGGCACAATCCAGCATGATTTAGGCCCTTTTCTTCTTCTTCTTCTTCTTCTTCTTCATCATCGGATGAGTCTCCCCAGGCTGCCATCATTGCCTTTTTGAGGTCTCTGTTGAATCCTTTATCTTCACCGGACCTCCGATGGGAACTGGTCTTGTTCTTGTCGTAGGTTCTATCATTTTTCTTTTGAGGACAATCTTTTGCCCTGTGCTCAAAGGAACCACAAACGAAACAACCTTGGTTATTAAAAGATTGGAAACCCTTTTTACCTTGTTTATTTCGGTTGCCTTTGAATTTTCGGTACATCTTTCCGAATTGCTTGGCGAACATGCTCATTTCATCTTCCGATTCACTTCCGGATTCTTCTTCTTCTTCTCGAGCCTTGAGAGCTATTCCTCGCTCTTTTCTCACATTTTCTGCATCTTGTTCTTCTTGTAGGCCTAGCTCATATGTCATGAGTGAGCCAGTCAAGTCTTCTAGCGTCATGGTAGAGAGATCTTTAGCTTCTTCTATTGCTGTAGTTTTAGGCTTCCATGCGGATGGCAAGCTTCTCATAACTTTTCTCACCTGATCTTCTACAGTAATATCTTTTCCAAGTGCTGAGAGCTCATTGATAATATTAGTATAACGTGTAATCATATCCCTAATTGATTCTTTAGGCTTCATCACGAATAATTCGTAATTACGCATAAATATGTCAATTTTGGATCTTTTTACACGCGAGGTACCCTCATGCGTAATCTCAAGTAAATCCCACATTTGTTTTGCGGATTTGCATCCAAGAACACGGTTGTGCTCAGCCGGACCAAGTCTACAAATCAAATATTTCAATGCTTGAGCATTATGCTCGAGTTTACAATAATCATCAGAGGTATATTCAGATTTGGGTTTAGGGATAACCTCACCTTCGGCATCTTCTTTAGTAATGATGTTATCGCCTACTTCAATTACGTTCCATACCTGGTAGTTCTCAGCCTTGATGAAGTTCTCCATTCGACTCTTCCAGAATTGATAAAATTTGCCGTTGAACAACGGTGGTCGTTGAGTCGAGTATCCTTCCTCTAATCGTTCAACCGTATTCATGCTGCCGGATCTCTTCCCAAGGTTTTAACCTTTCTGTGGTGAAGACCGGCCCGGCTCTGATACCAATTGATGAAACAGTTAGCAACACAAGAGGGGGGGGGGGGGGGGGGGGGGGTGAATTGTGTGTGTGTGGAACCGTGACAGTTTTTCTCACAGTTCTAGTGTGAGGTTCAGGGATTTACGAAATAATAAAGTGCACAAGATTCAACGAGGAAAAATCCCTTGGCTCAAAGGGATTAAAAAACCTCGACCTCCCTCGGAGGAATTTGAACAACTTCACCAAAAAGCCTTTGAATGATTACAAGGGAAACTCTCCTAGTCTACCCTTGAGCCACCCCAACTCTATCCTCTCTAGGAAGAGTTATGCTTCTCTACCTTGTGGGTAGAGAGCCTCTCAGCTTTACAACAAAGCTCTCACAACACACTAACTGACCCGAGGATGCTACACTTAGTCAATCCTCTAAAAACCCCAATTACAATATGAAGAAAGGAAAAGGAAACTCTGTTTGGAACTCCGTGAGCAGGTTCTGGTGCCTTGGACTTAGTAGATATTCTTGTGTATATTTCTCAATAGAAGCTTGATCAAGCACACCCTTTCGTCTGGTCTTTAGTCCAATATATATAGTATCCGTAGCCTCTTCTTTCCTTTTATTCAAAGATCTTCCGGCTCACAAATATGGTGATCCTCGGTCAACCATATATATATATATGGAAGGAAGTGGATGCGTGCATATTATGAATAAATCACTCAATAACAAACAGATATGGAGAATATTACGTATTGCAATGAATATATATATCATCACATATAAGGAGAATATTTTATTCTCTTAATATAAGCATCCAACGGACATTATGTAGCAACAACATATTTATATAATCAATGATTAGTTTTCTTTAACAAGTTTGAATATGTATCGATCATATAAGTGAGATATTCAAATAAGGTGCTACAGATCATGCAAGCCAAGATACTTTCCAAAATTTATCTTTTAATATAATGACTTTTTAACATTAAGTGATAAGGAAATATTTACTTAGTGGATCTAAATATGCTACGATCAATTTATACAGGATATTTATGTAGCATAAACAATGATTCTTTCCATAAGCTATAAAGCTATATAGGCCAACTCATAAAGGTGAGTGCTTAGTCATATACGGAAAGATATTTAAATTGTGCCACGTACATTAAGAATATGCATGATCAATCTAGGCACGTAGATGAGGTATTATCATGCATGCACATATTAATTTATTCATTATGCACAACAATCAGTCATATAGATCAGAACTAAGTATAGTTCTAATTTTCGTTCCTATTGGAACTGAGAGCAGTTCTGTCCGTCATTTCACCTACATGGTTAGTCATCAACAAAACAACATATTCAACACATGGGCTTATGTGACTATTTCATAATAGTAGAAGACCTTATTTGACCCTTTTCTCTTTTTCTGAATTGTTTACTATCAACTTTTACACATATAAAATTCTTTAAAACTAAACGTATTTATGACCTTTATTTGAAAATTTTTATGTAATTGTTCATTTTGGATAAAATTAAAAATGCTACTAAATGGATAAACATTATTCAGGAGTTACACAGATTATATTGGTCAGTAAAAAACAATTTTCAGGTATACTACCTTTGTATATACTCTCATTACAACAAAATATAGCTTTTGTAGCATATGCAAAGTGTCCCTATAGGTGTAAAAAATGTCACAATAGCATATGCATGTACATAATTTTTTTATGAAAGGAACAAAATAATCAAATAAATAGAAATGAAAAAATAGAGTTATATTACCAGGATTAGTTGTGGAATTGTTGCAAAGAAAAGGAGTATCGAAGGTGAGAGTTTTGTTGTAGTAAGTTGAAGTTCCTTGGCTTGATATGGTGAGATTTTTGCAGTCCGTGTGATCAGAGCACCAGCCTCCTCCCTTAAATGGAGTTGGAGATTATTAATTAATCAGCCATGGGGAATTCAAACTTATAATATTTCAAATGCAAATAAAAATAGTATAATTAATTATATCACACACTTAGTTATCACACACCACTCAAATCAAAAATTTATCATATTCGGCAAATTTCACTCACGGTTTGGAAGTTTGGACCGCGAGAAGGGAACGAGACTAGAAGTGAAAAAAATCCTTTTTTGTTTGAGAGATAAATTTGAAAAAAGAATGACTAAAATCATAATTATAATTGCTTAATTATTAAATTCAAATAGTTGAATCTGTATTCATTTTAAATCGAGCTAAATATACTTAGTATCATTTAATTTGTTGTCCTTCGAAAAACTCCAAAGTAGATAACTTAAAAGTTGAGTGGTTGAAAGATTTTGGAAGGTTACAGGATCCTTCAAAATCTTCCCTTCAAATTTTTTTAAGTACCAAACAAGAAAAAAATGATCATAAACCCTTATCAACTTTCTCCTCAACTTTAAAATCTAACTCCAAAACATAGATGTGCGGAGTTTTAAAATTCAACCAACTTTCATCATGCATAGATATTTTTCATCATCATTTAATATAAGAATAGATGTGACGCTCATCGCCTACCCCTTTGTCATGGTAGTATGCAGCTGGACTCCAATCCAAACACACTGTGAATATCCATCAGTATTCATCAATCATCAGAATGTATCGAAGTAAACAATGAACTTTAATTTCCAGCTATCTGAAGGCCCGTGTAAGTTTTTTTTTGTTGTTGAGAGAAATACTAACGAATAAACATTTGATAAATACATATTAAATGAAAAACAGTAGCTTGGAACGTACCAGCGCCTTTTCCCAAGGCCCCTTTGACGTATTTCAAATGAACGGATCGAGAGTCCGCAAGAGTAGTAGCGTTAGCAGTAATGATAAACACCAACACAAAACTGAAAAGATGAACTCTTGCTATCGTTGATTGAATTGAAGCAAACTTAGCTAGCTAAGCAGATAGCAGATGTGTTAGATAGAACTTAGATAAGAGGTGATCGAAGTGATATATAATGGCCAACACAGCTAACAAGAGGCCACCTATATAAGATAGTAGAAGGTGGAGAGAAGATTGAATTATTGGATTGTGGAAATTAAAGCGAAGGCATTTCACGTACGTTAATTAAATGCTCGTACTACGTAGTACTAATAGTTAATATAAATTAGGAATCCTTGTGTATTTTGGCAACTCTTATTTTACTATAAATATACCTGTTAGGACTCCTATTGGAGTACGGTTTTCCCAATTATCTCACATGGTATCACGAGCCTTAACCTAATTTTTTTTCTCTCTCCTAAAATTCTGTGCCGCCATGAGCACTTCGCCCTACTCCAGCGCCGCAACCATGGTTTCTTCGGCCATGGGCTCGGCTGCCGCTGCTGCAGCTTCTTCCCAGGTGCCGGCGTACACAACACTCCCTCCTCAGACGGCACAACCCGACTTCTCCACGCCTCCGGCCGTCACAGCTGCCACCTCGAGCGCAACCGGATCCCCGGTGATGACGCCGACATCTTCAACACTTTTTACCAATTTTCCTCCACCTCCAAATTTCTCTATGTCTGCGCCTATTCATCAATTTCAGTCGTTCCCATCGCAGCATACATGGCCTACGCCAGACCCTATCCAGCCGCCTCCAACGGTTTTGCAGCCGGCAGTCACGTCCTTCTTTGGCCCTACTTTCTCCGGGTCACCTGGAGTTCTTCGGCCGCCTGATCAACCGGGATTTGGCTCCCCGATGTTTGCTCTTGCTCAGTCTGTTTCCCATATTACCACGGTCTCTCAAATCATCACCATTGAACTGAAGGCAGTCGAGGATTATCTCACCTGGCATACACAGTTTGAATCCTTCTTGGTTTCTCAAGGCCTCCTTTGGATCGTGAATGGCTCTATTCAGGTACCCCCGATGTATACAGTTGATTTTCTTAATCGTCAAGTTCCAAATACAGAATATTATTATTGGCTTCGGGTAGATCAAACAATTCGTTGTTGGTTGTTTGCTACTTTAACTCGGGATGTGTTAGTTGATGTTCATGACCTCAAACATTCAGTTGCTATCTGGGCTAGACTTCATGCTCGCTTTATGTCTGCTAGTCTACCCAGATGCATGGAACTTAAACGATTGTTATCAAATATAAAGAAGAAAGAGAGCCAATCCATGGAATTCTATTTAAGGGAAATTAAAACTGTCGTTGATGTCCTTGCGGCAATTAATTCTCCTGTGTCGGATAAAGAGATGCTTCAAGCTATTTTGGCTGGTTTGGGTCCTGAGTATCGGTCCTTTGTCACTAATGTCTCTTTATTCCCCGACCAATTTCCCTATGATATTCTACAACCCCGACTTTTGGAGGAGGAGCAACGGGTCTTGTCTAAACGCCAACAACAACCAGCCGCTGGACATCAAGCCTTTGCGGCTGCTGCAGCAGAGGTCAGCCACCAGCTGGCTACGCCAATCGCGGCAGAGGGGGCCGCGGTAGGGGACGCGGCAGGCAAGGTCGAGGACGTGGCAGGGGACCACCGTATGGGTATCAGCACCAGGCCGCGCCGTTTTATGCTCCACAGCAGCATGCCCATGCTCCGCAACATGGATTCGGATCTGTCCAGCAAGGCTTCGGGCAGCAGGGGTTCGGTCATCCACATGCTTCAACTCAGGGGGTGCCTAATTCTCAAGGGAACACTTCAGGTTCTGCAAGTAATTCTATTTTGTCAACTTTAAATATTAATCCCTATTTTACTTATGATACTCACACTAGCTCTGCAGGTTTTTCATCAGGAGAGGGAATTCTTGGTTCTGTTCCACCACCTGTTGTTTGTCAGCTTTGTTTTTCTGCAGATCATTCTACACTTCAGTGTCCCTCTCGTTATGCTCCACCGTCTGCACCAGCTCTGTTAACTTCCAATGGTGACTCCAACACTGCTTTATGGTACCCTGACTCTGGGGCTTCGGCTCACATGACTCCTACGAAAGGTATTTTAGTTAATAAATCTGTTTATACTGGACCACTTTCTGTTAGTGTAGCTAATGGTTCTAGGCTTCCCATTGCTAATATTGGAGATGTTCATTTACATTCTTCTAGTCGTCCCCTCACGTTAAATTCTGTTTTTCATGTGCCTCACATTAAATTCAATTTATTATCCATTAAGAAACTTTGTGCTGATAATAACTGTGCTGTAATTTTTGATAAAAATTCTTTTTTTGTTAAGGACAAAATCACGGGGACCATCCTCCTTCAAGCTCCTAGTCAAGGTCATCTATATCCAGTCAGCCTCAGCCCTCAGTCACCGCTTACTTTGACTTCTCTTGATTTGTTTAGCTCTCTTTGGCACCATAGATTAGGCCACTGTGGCAACTCTATTTTAAATACTTTACGTAGTCAACATCATATATCTAGTAACTTTAAGTTATCTCATGACTGTATTTCTTGCCGCTTAGGCAAATCTCAACGTTTACCCTTTACGGTTGCTAGTCATAATTCTACAATGCCTTTACAATTAATTCATTCTGATGTTTGGCGATCTCCTATTTTATCTAATTTAGGTTTTAAATACTATGTCTGTTTTATTGATGACTTCTCTCGCTACACTTGGCTGTATCCCATGCGCACAAAGGCTGAAGTTTTTCATCACTTTAAATCTTTTAAATCTTTAGTTGAAAATCTTTTTAACACTCAAATTAAAATTTTTCAAAGTGATGGAGGGGGTGAATTTGTTAATACTAATATGCAGCAATTTTTTGATACTCATGGAATTTATTTTCGCAAATCTTGTCCTGACACACCTCAACAAAATGGGGTGGCTGAACGAAAACATCGACATCTGCTCGAAATTACTAGGACTATGCTTCTTCAAGCCTCTATTCCTAGCCAGTTTTGGGTAGATGCCATTTTTACTGCTGCATATATTATTAATCGTTTACCTTCTCCCTTGCTTGGTAACTTTTCTCCATATGAAAGACTCTTTCAAAAATCTCCTGATTATGCTTTTATGCGTTTGTTTGGATGTTCGTGTTTTCCTAATATTTATGCATCTTCTGCAAATAAACTTTCAGCCCGTTCTATTCACTGTGTCTTTATTGGCTATGCATCTGGTTATAAAGGGTATCGTTGTCTTGAACCTAAGTCTGGTAAAGTTTATGTCAGCCGTCATGTTAAGTTTCTAGAAACTAACTTTCCTTTCTCCTCTTTATCATCCTCCTTCTCGGAGTCATCCATTTCCTCTGACTTTCCCCAATTAACTCTTCCCAACACCATACGAGCCCATATACCTCCTCCTATGGCACTTTCCCAACACATTGCAGGGCCACTTCTACACTCACGGCCACTACAGCAACTGACACCAACCCCTCCTATCCCGGTCACCACAGCACCCGACACCACCCCAACCAGTACTTCGTTAACTTCACCAACCCTTTCTTACGCCACCCAACCAGAAACCACTCCCACAACTGCGCCACCTTCTGCCGACACCAAGACCACATCAGTAATGCCTTCGCCCAATTCAATAGCCAGTTCTCTACCCCATGTCCCGAGTTCACCCACCTCTCACTCCACAAGCTCCCTTGGTCCCCAGGTTAATATTCATCCCATGCAAATCCGGGCTAAGTCCGGTATTTTTAAACCCAAATCAATTTTTACATTAAACACAGTTATGAGTGCACCTGATCCAACTTGTTACTCTGAGGCTCAGAAACATTTAATTTGGCGTGAGGGTATGGCAGATGAATTTAATGCACTTATCTCTAATAATACTTGGGAGTTAGTCCCGTTTGCTAAATCTAAAAATGTGGTTGTGTCTAAATGGATTTACAAAACTAAATTTCATTCTGATGGGTCTATTGAGCGCCATAAAGCACGTTTGGTTGCTCAAGGATTTAATCAGCAGGCTGGTGTTGATTTCTCTGAGACTTTCAGTCCCGTAGTTAAACCCACCACAGTTCGTATAGTTCTTACACTTGTTATTTCGTTTGGGTGGGTTATGTGTCAATTGGATGTGAAAAATTCATTCCTTCATGGCCATCTTACTGAAGAGGTCTATATGCGTCATCCGCGGGGTTTTGTTCATCCTCAATTTCCCCATCATGTGTGTCGTTTGCGCAAGGCTATTTATGATCTAAAACAGGCCCCGCGAGCGTGGTTTCATCGATTCAGTAGTTTCTTACGTACTCATAATTTTGTGTGTAGTAAGTCAGATAATTCTTTGTTTATTTTTCGTCAAGGGAAGTCAGTTATGTATTTATTACTATATGTCGATGATATCATTATTACTGGCAATTCTCCCTCTCTTGTGTCCTCTTTCATTGCTTGCATTGCTTCACATTTTGCTCTGAAAGATCTCGGTGATCTCCATTACTTTTTGGGGATCCAAGCTGTTCGCACATCTACAGGTTTGTTTCTTTCTCAACAAAAATATGTCTCAGATCTTCTTCTTCGTTTTCATTTACACACTCTCAAGTCTGTTCGTACGCCATTAGCCACTCGTACATCTCTCTCCCTCACTGATGGAGAACTTTTGTCTGATGCTACGGAATATCGTAGTATGGTAGGTGCATTACAGTATTTAACTTTGACAAGACCTGATATTACTTATGCAGTTCATTTAGTGTCTCAATGTATGCATGCCCCACGCACCACTCACATGCTTGCTGTCAAGCGCATCTTTCGTTACTTACAGGGAACCATTGATCACGGATTATGGCTTCAGCAGTCTGTTCGCCCTATGTGTATTTTGGCTTATTCTGATGCTGATTGGGCAGGATGTCCGGATACCTCTCGTTCTACTACAGGTTTCGCTGTTTTCTTGGGTCCAAACCTTGTCTCATGGAAGTCCAAGAAGCAGCCTACAGTCTCTAAATCTTCTACCGAGGCTGAATACCGTGCCATTGCATATACAGTTCAAGACACATTACACATTCGATCGGTCCTATTTGAGCTTGGTTATGCAATCCGCGAGCCTGTTCAGTTATTATGTGATAATATCTCTGCTTCTTACCTGACAACTAATCCTATTCAGCATGCACGCAGCAAGCATATTCAAATTAATTATCATTTTGTTCGTGAGAGAGTGGCTGATGGTGATCTGGTCGTGAAGTATGTTCCTACACGTTTGCAACTTGCGGATATTTTTACTAAAAGTTTATCTAGTCAGCAGTTTCATTTTTTAAAAGACAACCTGCGCGTTGTATCTCCCGCACAGCTTGAGGGGGTGTAATAGTTAATATAAATTAGGAATCCTTGTGTATTTTGGCAACTCTTATTTTACTATAAATATACCTGCCAGGACTCCTATTGGAGTACGGTTTTCCCAATTATCTCACAAGTACTAGTAATAAGTAATGAGGGGATGAGACGGGAAATATTGGCTGGGATGGGAGGAGCAAAGGGGCGTGCATTTACTGCATGCATTGCGTGTTTAGGCAACTACCGTTCTCGGCCGGGCAAAGCCATGTGGCGAATGTTGTTTCGGGACCTCGCCCATTCATGCATGATGCCATTTATATATTCGTACAAAAACGGATACTACATTACTACCGCTATTTTAAACGTATCATGGTTTAAAATTGCGGATCGCAGCCGGCTCCGCTACCGCTATTGCAATGTGAATGCGAATCAAGATGAAATCTGTTAGGGAACCGCGACGGATCCGCTACGTCGTTGTAACACCCCGACCTTGCAGGGTTTGAGGAGCTTGTTGGATCATAATGTTTTGTTGATGACAAACAACTAGTGTTACTATTGGTCCATAAGTGATTGCAGGAAAGGTAGTCTAACTCGTGATTTGAAACAAACCGTAGACCTGGACCTAGAACTGTCCGCCAGATCCAAGATTAAATATATTGACTTACTTAAAAATATTTTTTCTCTCTATTGAAGTTCGATTTTGTCTTGCTAAATTAAAGAGAATTTTTTATTAAGGAAATAATCAATGATCATACAAAGAAATGATTTATTCTTTAAAGGAAAGCTATTTAAATCAAAGGCATTAATTAGGAGATTTCTCTACAAAGCAAGTTTCCAAAATAAAAGGAGTTACTTAAAATTCAAATTGGATTTTCGTGCATCTCCACTCACAAGAAATGTTTCCTTAAGAAAAATATTTTCCTTCACACAAATATAAAGAATATCTTTTAATACCTATAAGAAAATATTTTTTGAATAATTTTTATGCAAGAGGACCGAAATATATATATATGGAGATCCGGGCTATTAAAGATAGTACATCAAGTCTTAATCTTACACATTTAAGAAGACCGAGCTCAAAGGAAAGAATTTGTTGAGTATGAAGTTTTGTTGATGATTAACCTTGCAGGGACAAGGGAAAGAACTATCCTAAGGTCTACACGGGCATTCACATTTACTTGACTAACCATGCAGGTGGATCAATGGATAGAACTACTATCAATTCTGTCAAGAACAGAAGTAAGAACTGAACTTAGTTCTGTTCTATGTGAGTCGGTATCAATTAATAGATGAATTGTTATGTGATTGAATTAATAATGTCTCATGTACGTACCTAGACTGTGAAGCATGTACATGACACTATTTGAATATCTTTCCATGCATGACTAGATACCCACCTAAGATGACCTTTATTGTTTAATAAGTTATGGAAATAATCTTGGCCTGAATAGCTAAGTTGACCATAGCATATTTTGATGAATATCTTAAAGTATTATTAATAATGAATGATTGCATGACTCATGAATTTGGTTGACCGTAGCTCTAAATGAATATTTTATTACCATAAAAGGATGATGCGTTGCCACAAAACTATATGTGGACCAATGCATGTTTATATTTGACAAACCAATATATTACTTCCTTCTGTGCGATATTATGTATCTCAAATTGATTATCATATACATTCAGTTCGAATGTAAAGGATCCACATAGAAGGAAAGTGATTCAAATAATATCAAGGCAAGTTCCACATTTGGCAACTCGACCATCTAAGGAAAGAAAACATCAACGGACTTGCTCCAAACATCTTATATATATATGCCGAGATCAAGGAGAAGAAGTGTGCGCTTGGAGAAGAAAAAACTCAAATAAGGAGAATTATACAAGCACCCCATAGAACACCGAGAACTTGCGACAGTTCCATTAGCAGTTCTATTCTTTGTAATTCAATTTCTTCTATTGTATTGGGGTTAATTAGGATGAACATTTGAGAATGCTTTCCTCCGATGGTTGGGGTATGAAGTGAGAGCTTTGTTGTAAAGCTGAGAGATTCCTTACCCACAAGGTAAGGTAGTGAGGACTCTATCTAGAGAGGCTAGAGTTGGGGTGGCTCAACGGTTAACTAGGAGAGTTTATCTTCTAAGTTGTAACTTGTTTAAAGGCTTTTAGTGGAGAGTTTTTCATATTCCTCCGAGGGAGGTCGAGGTTTTTTGTCACTGTTGAGCCAAGGGATTTTTCCTCGTTAAATCTTTGTATCCTTTAATTTCTTTTTTTCCCTTTGCCTCGCACTAGAACTCGGCAAAAAACTGTCGTAGTTCTACGCACACACAATTCTACGCGTCCTCACAAACATCCACTAGCCTTTAACGTGAACTTTGTCTTCACTCGTACGCGTCCTGAGAAACTTTTGGGGGGTCACCTATCCCAAGATTACTCCCGTGTTGTCAAGAATATCATAGCTAAAAATAGAGAGGCACAATCAAGGGAATAAGATCACTGCATATTAGGAATATATTTTTTCCTTATTTACATTGTATTCTTATGCTATATATTGGGATGTAATGTATATGAAAGATATATAGAAATAAGAAGAATATCAATTCCTCCTATATTCTCCATCATGTCGTTCTTTCTCAAGATGGTATCAGAGCAGGCAAACCACCAAAAGGAGGACTCAGATTTGAGTTCCTCGTAATTCCTTCCACTAAAACCTGTAAAACCATTCCCTAAAACCCTACAAATCTGCCCAACCATGTCAGATTCAGAAACTTCAAACACAGAAAACACTAGCCACACCCCAACATATTTTCCGATGGAATTTGCTGCACAATTTGCAGAATTCCTCAAACAAAGCCTCAGAATTCCAAATTCATCATCGGCCCATAAACCACCAAACCACGACCAACCTGAATCCTTTGGAGAGATTTCCATCAAGGCGAAACTCAATGGGGAGAATTACCCCTTATGGGTTAACCTCATGAAACGGGCAATTGCGGGAAAAGGTTTGACATCTCACATTAATGGAGTTTCAAAACCTCCCGTAATTGCCGATCCCGGCTACACAAGGTGGGAGCAACGGGATAACTGCGTTTTCAATTGGGTGATCAAAAATATCGAAACCGGACTTGTGAACGAGGTATCACAGTACGCAACTGCCGCTGATCTATGGGAAGGATTGGCGATTACTTATGGAAGTGGATCTGATCCATTCCAAATCTATGATCTGCACAGACAAGCCATGACGATCAAACAAGAGTCTATGACACTAGAAGGGTTGTGGACCAAAATGCAAGACTTATGAATCTTGATTGATACCTGAGATCCGAGTCCGACAGACATAGAGGGATACCAGAAAAGGGAGGAGCGCCATCGCCTCTATCAATTTCTGAGTGCATTGGATGATAAATATGCAAATATCAAGAGGGAGATTATGGACAAGGATCCGTTACCAACTGTTCGAAGAGCCTACGGACTGGTGCGAAGGCAGGCCAAAAACGAGGGTATCCTCAAACCCTCCGAATCACCAACCGAAGGAATCGGGTCCGGACTCGCCGCGGTCAACCACAGCCGACCACCGCCACCTTCCAATCGGCCACAACAAGGAAATCAAACCTGGAACAACAGGAAAGGGGAAATCGATAAGAGCAAACTCGTATGCACACACTGTGGGGGTAAAAAGCATACCAAAGAGGGATGTTTCTTACTCATCGGATTTCCCGAATGGTGGGACGAAATGAAGAAATCAAGAACCACGTCCAGAAATCGGAATCAACCATGGAACAAGAATGGACAAGCGACGGTGGCGGTTAGTGGCACAAGGCAGACGTCAACTGTGGCTGCCGGAGCGACGACTGGAGGGGCGTGGTCAGGCGGTGAGACACGAGCTGCCAGCGCCGGATCCCCGGCAGGCAACGTCGGACCACCACCGCCACAAACGCGCATGGACGAGGAGAGGGGAGGTGCCCTGGCAGCTAGGGTGCACGAAGGGGGAGGTAATGAGGGGTTATATTTTTTCAACCCCTCACTCATTCATGACTCTAATCATTCACCCCATTTAATCCCCGCATCACAGCACACCCAAAAATTGCATATTAAACACACAGAAAATGAAAAACCTTTTTTTGAGCCCAATATATCCTGTAGGAATTCTTTTCAGGTCTTAGCATTATCCTCCATTAATTCTGAAACACCTGATAAAGACTACCATTGGATTTTTGATTGTGGAGCTACAGGTACTATGTCCTTTGATGCCTCTGATTTTATGAAGATTTTTCCTGCTCAGAAAAGATATATCAAAACTGCTAGTGGAAATTTAGCATCTGTGGAAGGAGCTGGAACTATTAAATTGTCCCCTGAATTATGTCTCCCAAACTGCTTATATATCCCGTCTTTATCTCACAAATTAGTGTCTGTCAGCCAAGTTACGAGAGAATTACATTGTAACTTACTAATGCAGTCTGGCTTATGCATTTTACAGGATACGAGGACGGGGAAGATAGTTGGGCGTGGCACTGAACACCGAGGACTCTACTATGTGGATGGGATGGCTCAACAGGGTGCTGCGATGCTGACTCAAGGACTGACAGAGGAACAGACTTGGCTTTGGCATCGGCGGTTAGGACACCCATCCATAGGATATCTACGATTAATTTATCCAAACCTTGTTACTTCACACCCTTTGAACTGTGAAACATGTTTTCTGGCTAAGAGCCATCGTCACTCTTTTAAACTTAATAATACTCGTGTGAAGTCAGTTCTCTCTTTACTTCACTCTGATATTCGGGGTCCAGCTCCGGTTACTAGTGATAATGGGTTTAGATATTTTCTGCTATTTGTTGATGACTGTTCTAGAATGACGTGGGTATATTTCTTAAAATCTAAAAGCGAAGTTTTTGAGAAATTCACCCACTTCTATAATATAGTACAAACACAATACAACCAATCTATTCAAATCCTTAGATCTGATAATGGGGGGAGTATGTAAATTCCAAGATGCATTACTTCTTCACAGAAAAAGGCCTTGTCCACCAAACAACCTGCCCTTACACACCTGAACAAAATGGGGTAGTTGAACGAAAGAATAGGATCATTTTAGAGATGACTCGAGCCCTTATCATCGATTCCCAAGTCCCGACATCTTACTGGCCCGAAGCTGTTGCTACCTCTGTTTACCTCCTAAATCGATTGCCAACTCATATCCTAAACTTTAAACCACCCCTTAAGTTCCTAGCTACCCACTCTGAAATACCCTCATCCCTCACTCTTGAACCCAGAGTTTTTGGATGCACCGTTTATGTTCATATCCCTAAACAAAATCGTACAAAATTCAAACCAAATGCTGTAAAGTGTGTTTTCCTGGGGTATGGCAAAAATCAGAAGGGGTATAGATGTTATGACCCTGTAGCTAATCACCTACACACCACCTTAAGCTGTGACTTCGTTGAAACAGAATATTTTTTCCGCCAACAAGGGAGTCAGGGTGAGAAAAAGGAGATTGTCGACTCCCTAAATTGGCTCCATACGCCATCCACTGTCCAAACAATCCTACCTTCTCTACCTTCTTATCCGTCAGAAACTAGCTCAATGTCATTGCCAGGTTCTGTGCCAGACGTTGGTCCAACAGAGAAGGTTAGCGCACCCTCCGAGACATCTACAACACAGGTTCAGTTCAAGATGTCCAGTGATTTGAGCCCACTGTCAACCCCATCTTCGAATCCTGAGGTAAGTAATCTCAATAGTTCTCAAGTTAATACTAACATTGAGGAACAGAGGGATGGAGACACTGACACAGAAACTGGAGGGGATACGAATGAAGATGATGAACGTACTGAGTTAGCAAGTGCCACAGAACAGTACACATTGCCTCCCCGAAGTACACGGGGGAAACCACCAAAACGATACTCTCCAGACTGGCAGGGACGGAAGACTAGGTACTCGATTGCCAACCTTGCCCAAGGGCAACTCACAGAGATGGCACGAGCCTTTGAAGCAGCCCTGTATGAAGAGGAAGATGTACCCCGGACAGTAGAAGAGGCAAAGAGACATAAACATTGGAGAGAGGCCATGAAGAAGGAAATGGATGCCCTAATTAAGAATGGGACATGGGAAAAATGTGTGCTGCCAGAAGGAAAGAGGCCAGTGGGATGCAGATGGGTTTTCACAATCAAAAGGCGAGCAGATGGTTCAATCGAGAGGTACAAAGCTAGGTTGGTTGCAAAAGGATACACTCAGACCTACGGGATAGATTATGAAGAAACATTCTCACCACTAGCCAAGATGAGCACAGTAAGAATACTTCTGTCAGTAGCAGCATGCAAGGATTGGCCTCTGCATCAGTTGGATGTAACTAATGCCTTCCTACATGGAGAATTGAAGGGAAATGCAGAGATATATATGGAAGTCCCCCCAGGTTACTCCGAAGAGTTCGAGGCAGAGCAAGTGTGCAGGCTAAAGAAGACACTCTATGGATTGAAGCAATCGCCCAGAGTATGGTTCGGGAGATTTTGTCGAGCTATGGTGAAAAATGGATATAAACAGAGTAACTCTGACCACACGTTATTTGTGAAAAGGAGAGAAGGAAAGGTAACATGTTTAATCATTTATGTTGATGACATGATTATCACAGGAGATGATGTTGAAGAGATAGAAAGCTTGAAGAAAAACTTGTTCCTGGAGTTCGAAATGAAAGACCTTGGATCTCTGAAATACTTCCTTGGAATTGAGATTTTAAGGTCCAAAAAGGGGATCTTCCTGAGACAAAGAAAGTATGTCCTTGACTTACTTGCAGAAACTGGGCTACTCGAGTGTAAGCCTGCAGAAACACCGGTTGTGATAAATCATGGGTTAACAATTGTTGAAGGAGCTGACTTGACAGATCAAGGAAAATACCAGCGCCTTGTTGGGAAACTCATCTATCTCTCTCATACACGGCCTGACATCGCGTATGCAGTTGGAATAGTAAGTCAGTTTATGCACAAACCCCAGAATGAGGATATGGAGGCAGCTTTAAGAATTGTCCGGTACCTGAAAGGAACCACTGATTATGGGATTTTGCTTAAAAAAAGGGAAGATTTGGAAGTTGATGGGTATACAGATGCAGATTGGGCCAGTAACCCAAATGATAGGAAATCTACTGCCGGATATTTCACCTTCGTTGGAGGAAACTTGGTCACATGGAGAAGCAAAAAACAGAAAGTAGTGGCCCTATCAAGCGCAGAGGCAGAGTTTAGAGGAGTGAAAAGTGGGATAACTGAAATCATGTGGCTTCGGAGATTGCTCACAGAGATTGGCTTTCCTCCAAAAAGGGGAAGTCGGCTCTTTTGTGACAACAAGGCTGCGATTAGTATATCTGAAAATCCTGTACAACATGACAGGACCAAACACGTGGAGGTCGATCGACATTTCATCAAGGAAAAGCTCGATAGTGGGATCATTGAACTTCCCTTCATACGATCGGAGGAACAATTGGCTGACATATTGACTAAGGCCGTCAACCCAAAAGTCTTCAGAGAAGTTCTGGACAAGTTAAGTATCGGAAATGCCGTTACTTAACTTGAGGGGGAGTGTCAAGAATATCATAGCTAAAAATAGAGAGGCACAATCAAGGGAATAAGATCACTGCATATTAGGAATATATTTTTTCCTTATTTACATTGTATTCTTATGCTATATATTGGGATGTAATGTATATGAAAGATATATAGAAATAAGAAGAATATCAATTCCTCCTATATTCTCCATCATGTCGTTCTTTCTCAAGAGTGTAAGCACACTTAACTTGGAGTTCTTAAGTGATAAGCTCCCTTAAAAGGATATGCATCTTGTTGGTATGAGTAGTATTATTAATCTCTTTAGATTAATTTCAGATATCAAGTATTACAGCTGCCGCTTCACGTCGCTACCGGCCGTATAATATACACCCTACATCCCCTTTTAATTAGTCAAACATGACTTTCAAGTCAATGATATATAACTTTGACCGATCATATATTTATATACAGAAATATTGATCATATCAAAATGATGTGAAAATATTTTTTGTCATAAAATGTGTGATTTAATGTATGTAGCATTAACAACAATGATAAACACCAACACAAAACTATCAAGTAGAACTATGACCATTATGGATTGAAGCAAGCCTAGCTGAGCAGAAAGCAAATACGTTAGATAAAATGTGATGGTGTTTATCATTTGATATTGCATGCATATCAAGATGCATATTCATCACCCCTCTAATAGCAAAGAAAATTATTCTTCATAATAATCAAATAATTACAATACTTATAAGCATTTTATTTCATATTCAATGATATTATTTGATATTTTTTTAGTATTAATTATAATGATATTTTTGAATTTCAAATTTGAAATTATATAAATATTTCAAATGATATTTTTAAGTAATATTTGTTTTAGTTATAATGATATTTTCAAATTTCATCACTATTGATGTTGAATATAAAAACTTTCTTTTTTGAATATTAAATATTCAAATATATATACCCAAATTTATAATATTGTAAAATATAATACATCCTTCTCATCAGAGATTGTCATCTTTGAATTAGGTGAGAGTTGAAATAAGAAAGTTAGAATTGTGTAGTTGAACTTTAATTTGTGCAAAAAGATATACTCATAAATGAATTCAATAATTACACACTAATTTTATATTAATAAAAAATACGTAGTATATTATTATATAAAATAGTAGTACATCTATTATGTTATTTGATATGTACATATATCCCTGTTGGAGACGTGATAAGTGTGATTGGTTGACAGTGTTGAAGCTAGAGGGGTGATGAATATGCATCTTCCAAAGGAAACAGATGGAATTGAAAGAGACGATATTGCATGCATATCAAGTGAACGAAGAACAAATTAAAGGGTTTCATATAAGTGACAATGAGGATGATTTTGCTCTTAATGACTCAAATGCAGAAGATGTTGATTTGGAAATCACTGATGATGAAAGTCCAGTGACAAATGAAGAAAACCAATATGATGAATCAGAATATGAAACAACCAAAGATCTAGGAGATGATGAACTTGATGAAGATGATGATGATAGCAATTAGCATATATTATTGCATTTTATAGATGTGTTTTCTTTCAAACGGTGTAATTTGCATTACGATGACATGTTTGTTGCTTGATTATGAATTGCATTTTACATTTTTGGTTTTGTAAATTTGTAATTCTAGGTAATTTATATTAATTAATTACTTATATTATGAAATTCTATTTTTTTTTACTTGATGTAGGTATGCCTCCAACAAAAAGAACTATTAAGAGTTCACTCTTAAAAGCTAGGATGATATCATTGGATCGGAGCAGCCCAATGAAGAAACTGCTAGTGAAGTTAGCTCTTCAGATGATGAAGTGGAAGACCAGCATAATGAGTTTCATGATGACGAAATGGAGGATCAACATGATGAGTGTACTAATGAGCAGAGTGAAGAACTGATTGATGATGAAATGGAGGAACGACCTACATTGCTTATACAAGAGCCATTCGAACATCCTCCTTTGCAACCTTGTGGCAAGCCAAGGAATTTTGTCAAAGTTGTGGGGAAAAAGTAGGTAATTGATGTGAGTTTTCTCGCACTTAAAAAATTGTAATATAGCAGTGAAAGTACGAGTATCGTCTCCACAGGGACGGTAAAAGGGAATTAAGAATTAACTAAAAATCAGCGATAAAGAATAAATAAAATAAATGCGGTCGTGCGAGATTTGGTTGCTTGAGAAAACTAAAATTGCAAATAAACGATTAAAAGTAAATGATTGGGTTCT